CACCAAACTGGCTCTCCCTTCAACATCAGCAACATAATGATGTCACTAGCACTCTTTGCAAGTAATTCATGCTAATTGCCCTTCTTTGTATTATATCATGATCATTCAAACTCAGAAATACCATTTATAGTCTCAAGGTCACTGCAACAGAGGGATACAGGTAGGACCAGTTTATATTTGCTAGCAGTTCAAATGAGGGCCAAATGAGGCTACACACAGACCTCCTATATAGACCAGTATCAGCACATAGATACTGCACAACTGGTTGCTGCAGCCTGCATAATCCCAACAACTCTGGAAAGGGCTACATGAGATAAGGCAATTTGCAGTGATTGTATAAATAAATTGTATAAATAAATATGGAGACACGGGTTCACATAAACCTGTCTCCGCATGAGCAGAACCTGACCACAAGACTGATTTTGGCCCTGTGCTCTCCAGCCTATGTGAATCACATCATAGATACGAAGTGGCATAAAATATTCTAGAGTTTAGCTGCGATCACACACACTAAATAATCCACTTTCAATCCACTGTCAATGCACTTTCTAACTGGATTTTACTGTGTGAACTGGCAAAATCCAGTTGGAACGTGCATTGAAAGTGGATTGTTTCGTGTGTGTGGTTGCAACCTTTGAGAGGCTTTTAAAAAAACTTGCCAATTGTTACATTTTCAGTAGGATAAAGACACTTATAGGGTTGCCAGCCTCCAGGTGGTGGCTGGAGATCTCTTGGGATTACAACTGATCTCAAGTCGTCAGAGATCAGTTCACCTGGAGATAATGGCTGCTTTGGATGCTATGGCTCCCCTCTCCAAGCCCCACCCTCCTCAAGCCCCACGCCCAAAATCTCCAGGAATTTCCCAACCTGGAGCTAGCAACCCTATGGGCTGTTTGATATACCTAAGCCAGAGGTGTCAAACTCATTTGTTTGTCACTTTGTTGGGCCGGACCATGTGTATCATGGTAATGTAATGCCAGGTGCCGGAGATATAAACTGTACAAAGGACAGCAGTTGGTAAACTCCATGTCGGTGTATCCTCACTGCAAGGCCCCATGGACTGGAAAGATGCTCCCATACTGCTTCCCTGCTGCAGGTGAAGTTGGTCTGCCATTCTGAAGCTACAGTGCAGTGGCTCTGCCCACTCCCCCCCAGAACTCCCTCCCTTGCAGCAGTTGCTCCTGGGCCACATAAGAGCCCTGGACGGGCCACGTCCAGGGTTATGTTTGACACCCCTGATCTAAGCTGTACTCACAAAATTGCTAACCTAGCCCACAATGGGACAATTAGTTGTCATCTTGGCAGTTATATTAGGGTGGATATCTGCATAGAAACTGGCCTCATGAAAGGGTTCATCATCTGAAATGCCCCAAATTGTCACAAACAGGAACAATAAGCTTTGGCTTGGACATGCTTCTGGGAACCAGTTCCAAGGCTTTACACTTTCACAACCAAGGCAATGGCATGGTGGGATGGTGAGTGTTGAGGCCCTCAACAAGGTACTGCCTCTGACAGAGTAGCATTTATAAATACCCCCTCCTCTCAGAAACAAGCCCCTACACACAGAAAACCAGGATATCAGAGAAGTAATGGTCTAGAACTATTGCTAGCATTTTAGCTTTCCATATTCAGAAATTCTTTTTTTAATGTGAGGGAACAGTCAGACATTCAGTCTTCCCAATTGCAGACTGAAGTGGTACTTTCCATTATTTTAACAAACAGTGTGCTGTTTTGTCTAAATCAAACCTCAGATGTGGGATTCAGACACAAAACCAAGGAGGATCAGAATGGTCCAGTGTCAAGGCAGTACGGGACTGGATACAGGTACATTGGGGTACGTAGGTCAGGCTGCAATGGAATGGGACAGATAGCTGACTCGGTAGCATGAAGGGAGAAGGAGAAGGAGTTGAAGAAATGTGATGACAGGCAGATCACTTGGGGGCTGGATGGAGGTCTATGTGAGGTACTGTCAAGTTGCTATGTTAAAACTGCCTATCTGCAGTTTGCTGTTATTTCTTACCTCAGGAGAGTCTGAGGCAGTGATGCCCAAACAACCACATTTGTCCCAGCTGTGCCTCATTCTAGATATAGCAGGCAGCACTAGGGAATGAATTCATGCACACATTCATAGTAAGTACAGTTCTTTAGCCTTGTAAAAAAAAAAAAAAAGGTAATGGTCATCCAAGCATGCATTGATCCCATTCTTAAGCTTTTACTGTGCAAAAAGAAAATGGTGACTCCACCCACTGTCAAAGCCAAACTGGCCACATTCCCCGGCCTCTCTCTTCATGTGTGGTGATAAGGGTCTTGTGTAAGCTTTTTCTGGTTAAAAATCATCTAAAGGTTCATTTCATTTATAAAAGCTATTAAAGCAGAGTCAACTATTAAGACAGCAGCACAGGATTCTACCCAAAAGAGGATGAGGGGTCCTTCAAACATGTAGCCAATTTACCCTGGCCTCCTTATTAAAGTATCAGGATTGACAAGGCACAGTGGCTCGTAATTGAAAAAGTCATAAAATATCTGAGCAGAACTGGCAAGTGAAGGCCTCCAGCCAATTTGTCAGCTTGCAGTCTACTCAGGGAAATTTGAACGCCACAGTCTGACTATTTAAATCATTAAAAAGCTTGATACAGACTGTTAAAACTGTGAATCTATTTTTTTATTATTATTATTTTAAAAACTGGGTGCTAGAAGTTGAAATTGGAAGGGAACAGATTGGGGGGGGGGACCTTTAATAGTATATTCAGATTAATCAAATCGATCTTGGCCCAAAGGGACAGAAGAGGGATGGGGCACGATCTGTCAGAACGGATAGACACCAGCCAATTGGTGTGTTGATAGTGTGTTGCAATATGAAACCCAAGGTTAGGGTAGATCTTATGCCTCAAGGGGGAAGAGTAAATTTACAGATTTGTCCCCTATCCTGTAAAGCCATGGTATTATTTAAGTCTTTTGGCTGTCAGTGGGAACTAGACAGGTTTATGTGCAAGTATTTTGTCACTCACACACAGATAACCCCTGCCCCTAAACTGATACAAAATAAACTGTTGGCAATATTCAACTCAACATAAAGCTGTGTCTTTCATGATAATGATGTTACTCTGGAGATGTGCAACTCTGAATTCAGAGTTGTTGTTAAAAGACAAATGGGGAACTAGTCATTGAACTAAATTTGGGGGGGGAAATACCCTTCCAGAATAACATACATTATGTTCTAGAAAAAAGCTGCAATCCTGTGCACACTTAATAATACATCCCACCTAACTTTGAGGGGCCCGTCTTCTTGAACCCTGTATAGTGTCATGAACATTCAAGGTGCTTTATGTGTAGTAATAAGTCAGTGGGATTTACTTATAAGTAAACAGGGACAGGATCAGTCCATAAGGCCCAGTCTGAAAGCTGCATAATCAAGAAAATGCATGTCACTTGCCAAATTAGCTATTTCTTTTCAATTAATTGCAGGATTTTGTGTTTCACACTTTGCACATGTAGCCATTCAGTGTCTTTTAGCAACAGAATAGAAAGGATTTTTCTCTTGTATTTAAAGAGGGGGCTCCTCGAATTCATTAATATATGATCCAGGCATTCACAAAGCGATTTGTAAATAGGTGCAGCACTTCCTACTTAAAGAAACCTTTTGCAGAAATCGCTGATTGTTTCCTGAAGAGCACAGCTCCCATTGCTGTCTTGTATTCCTTGTTGTGCTTTTGAAGTGAGAACCATCCCTGAAAAACAGGAGGTCTTCATTTAAGTGTGTTATTGTGCCCTTCAGCTTTGCTAATTCTTTTAAGACCCTAAAGAAGCTGTAAACAAGATGGGGATTTAAATCCTGCTTTCCTGCTCTATTTGTTAAGGATTTGGGTGAGACCTCATGTAGCAGAAGTCTTAATCAAATGGGGGAAAGAGCTGAAGGAGAGGAAAGCCGGCATTTATTTGGTTGCTTGCTTCTCCTAAAACAAAACATCCATATTGGGAGTGGGAAGAACCTCCCTTGCAGCCGTGCCCCAGACTGTTCAATTTAGGTATATGTTAAATTCTTTAATGTGGCTAATGATTAGCTGAGTGTTTAGGAATCCTGCTGCCAAAAAGTGCCATCTTAAAAAATGACAAGAGTGAGTTTGCCAAAGAAAAAAATAAATTAAGGTTCCAAGGCTTTATTGCACTTACTCGAGATGAAATTTAATTGAATTAAGTGGAACCTTCCCTCTGAGCAAATACATAGAATCAGGCTGCATTGTGGATGCAAACCCCCCCCTTAAAAAAAAAAAAAGACTGATCACAAGCTGAACCCTGAGATAATTTTGTCTTTTGCGATGGCAATTGCTGCACTGTCTTGTATCCACAAATAATCAAAGGATTATCTCTGAAATATCAGTGTAACTCACCAGCCATGTGTAGAGGAGCAGCCTTTTTTTGTTGTTGTTTTGGTTGTTTCTTTCAGAAAAGTTTTAGAATCTGCTGTAAACAGACAATTTTTAAAAAACCCATAGGTATAACTGCCTGCTGAGCAGAAATAACATAATGGATGGTATTTGGGTCCGTTCCCCCCCTCCATTCCAATCTAATGCTTAGCCAAATAGAGAATATTTCCTTAGAATGGCAGAATCTATTACAATTAATTAGAAATAAATAAATAGGAGCTGGCTGACTGTTGCAATCACAAGATTCTACTTTGCTTTTGGTGTAAGGTTAGAAGAGAAACACTGCTGAGTCTCTTTGTTCTCCTATTAAGTCCAGAATAAATGCACTCTGATGAGTGGGAGATCATGCACCATTTCTAGAATTTTTGGCCTGAAGGCAGTAAAGCAATCAGTAAGTGCTGCAAGTTGACAATGGAAGCTGAAGACTATATTTGATAGAGGCTCGGAGCCTGGCGTTCAGCTGGAAGCTTGGGAGCACCTTAGTTCTCGTGCTTCATGGTGTGTATTTGATGCATCTGATGCAATGGCAACCTGTTTCTCTAAATTGTGTCTTTCTCTATATGTATAAATGAACAGATGCAGATAGAGCTCAAAAGCATGGCATGGATGAATTTATCTCTTCCAATCCCTGTAACTTTGACCACGCTGCACTCTTTGAGATGCTTCAACGCCTCACTTTGGACCACAGACTTAATGATTCCTATTCTTGTCTGGCAAGTATCTTCTTTGGTCTATGTGATATGAATGTTGGGCACCAAAGTCTGATCTGGTAAAAAAAAAAAAATGTGTGCTGTGCCACTGCCATTCGTGGAAGAAGCACCTGCTTACAACCAGGTCCGAGTTTGGCCTGAGAGAACTTGTGTTTCAGAAGCATTGTGTGCTGAAGCTACTGTCTTTCCTTAGCAATTCTGCACAACTTAGAAGTTTGTGTTTCCTTTTTTAGATAATATTAGCATGCAAATGAAATCGCAAGCATCAACGGTATTGTGGTGCCTTCATGGCCTCTTGTGCTAGCCTGACTAGTAATGGGGGTTTTTTTTAGCTGTGCTATGAATAAATCTGGTCATTGGTAATATTTTGCTGGGAAAGATCCCTCAGACTCTTTAAATTTTACAATTTCATGAATGGGAAGATACCAAAAGCTAAGTCTGAGCCTTTAGTTGTGACACATTCAATTACTTCTTACCTGATTAGACAGTTTCCTATTTTGTGCATAGAATACATCCTTTGAAGTCAATATTATACAACGTGTCTTCCAATGATGGCAGTGTTACCTTACTGCCATTGTGTTGGTTTGCATTTAATTGAATTTAATCTTTTTTTTACAACATTTATTAGATTGCCTAAATATTTTAGCAAAATGGTGAATACCAAGTTTCCCCTCCCTTACAATTAAAATGTTTTGGGTTGGATCCAACCAACTTTTTCCACCAGTAAATAAAAGGAGGAATTCCCCTTTGATCACAAAAAAAAATGCTATTCTGGAGATCACGGTCAAAAGTCAGGTTTGACGGAGGAGGCTGTGATAAAGGGGGAAACTGGGTGACACTGAACAAAAAAAGCTGGCAGGATCCAACTTTTAGTTTTAGAATTCAATAGACTGCTTTTCGTAAGATAGTTTCAAGTTGAAGCAAACTGTTTTAAAAACATCAACAGAATGTGTTCTTCAACTATCTCTGAATCTAGTCATTAAAGGATTAAATAACAAATGAGTATGAATACTTCCGGAATGTAATTTGAGCTGATGCTCATCTTTGCAATCTTTTTTGCAACAGGATTTGAGCCCCAGCTCCTCTTTTCCTTATAAAATAATCCCTGGTGGTCGCCTTCAAATCACAGTACCTAGGCCAAGAGCACTTACGCATTGTGGAATGTGTGTGGAATGGATTTGTAAACCAACTTTCCTGCATGGCGCTGAACCAGTTCAGAAATCTTATATAAATGCATTTAAATTGCTCTTCTGTTTCTTTACCCACCAATAGCAGGAGAGTGGCTGAAAACCACAATGAGTGGCACATATAAGTTTGATCTCAGCATGTTGGGGCTGGGGGCCTTCACTGATACAGTCACTATCACATGCAAGACAACAACAATTGATAGGATGAATTATTGATTCTTATAGAGTTTGAGAAAAAGATTAACCACTTTTTTTTATTATTCTGGAATCTCCATAAATGCAAGTACAGTGGATTTCAGTTTTCCTTATACAAGCTATTTCACATCCATGGGCCATTAAACCTTGGCAACCTCTGTGGAGCTCCCCACAGCGACCATCTGCAAACTGCATTTTTACCCCCGGTGTGCTATTATAATGGTCATTTCCAGAGGTCACTTCGGGGGGGAACGTGGGGGAACACAGTTCCCCTGGGTGAGGTACGGGGGTGGGGCACATGACGAAGCCCCGCCCCCTGCTTCCGGCCGCCCCACATCCGGCCCTCATTCAGCCAGGAGGAGGCAGGAGAAGAGGGAGGGTAAGTTGCTTCCTCCCTGCCTCTCCCCACCCCTGCCTGCCTGGGGCCAGGGAGGGCCTTTGCGGGGCTTCCTTGCACTCCCGCCGGCCTTGCAGGTCCACAGCCGGGCCCCTAATGGGGCTCGGCAGTGGAGCTGCAAGGCTGGAGGTGGCGGCCGGGACCGTTGGAGGCGGGGTGTGTGGCCTTATGACACACTTCCGGTGATGTCAGGGGGTGTGGCATATGCTAATGAGTTACGCTAATGAGTTCCCCTAGCTCTTTTTCTACAAAATTACTCATTTCCTATTTATCTAGTACGTTTTTAATCCCACCATTCCCCCAAGATTCTCACGGCAACCTACGTGGTTCTCCTCTCTGTTCTGATCCTCTCGCAAGCTGTTACGTGGGTCAGTCATAGAGAATGTGACTAGCCCAAGATCACTCATTGAACTTCATGGCTGAGTCGGGGTTTGAAGCCAGGTATCCCTAGAGGTCCTACTCTGACTGACCACTGCGCCACCTGGGGTGCAGTTAACGGATTTCATAGAAGACAGACGGGATGTAGTAAAAGTCTCTTTCTTCACTGAATTTAATTTTAAAAATCTGAAGCAGAGGCTAAGAGCTTGATCGCTGAAGATTAGTAGGAGACGTGGTGCATTTGAAATATGCTTTCTTTGATTCATAGACACCACCCTACTTGCCCTGGGCAATGTGAGGCTTTTCTGAGAGCTCCCCAGCCATCATCTTCAGGAAGTTGTGGTGGGGTAGGGGTAAGTCTCGATGTTCCTCCCACCAATCTGGTCAGGTCACTATCTTAGAATACTTGTTGGCTGCAATAGATGGCAGCAACAGGCCCTTTCCAACTTGGTCAGAATTGCAGTTATGCGCCATCCACTGTAGACTAGACATACTCTCTATCTCTCCCTCATTCCCTAGTTTGCAAGTGGCCTGAGTCAGAATCTAGAGTATCAAGGGACAGGCATGAGAGGCCTCAGTCAGTAAGCCGAGAAAGCATTTATACTAGAATGTCATGACATACGGTGGTGTCTGGAAAGCATGGAGAGCTAATACAAATGTGTATGCATGGATTTCATCTATTAACTACAACTAGATATAGGGTAGTGGGAGTCATTCTAATACAATTTACAATGGATAATCTGGCAGTGCAGTGCAGATAAAAAAAAATCACTTATTTTGAAGGTGTATTTGGTTTATCTTGGGGGGGGGGGGAGGTCACGGAAGAATTTTCTTCCAGATCAGACTGGCTTGTGTAATTCTATGATTCTTTTGCAATACTTTCATTTTACATAACAGATAGGGTTGCCAACTCTGGGCTGGGAAATACATAGAGATTTGGAGGCTGGAGCCTGGGAAGGGCAGGGTTTGGGGAAGGGAGGGGCTTTAGCAGAGTGTAGTGCCACCGGGTCCACCCTCCAAAGCAGCCATTTTCTCTGGGGGAACTGATCTTGGTCATCTGGAGATCGACCGTAATAGTGGGAGATCTCCAGGTGCTACCTGGAAGGTGGCAACGTTAGCAATGAAGTGCAAAGTGAAAGACTATCACGAGGGGAGAAAGGCTTCTCTGTCTACCGAAAATTCCCATCCCCATTATCTCCCATGCTGACCTTCTTTACACTTTACTCAAGGGCGTAGACTTTCCAATTTCCCGGGGGGGGCTGGGGCTGGGCCAGGGGCATTGCTAAGTCATTAAAACAACTGGGACCCAATGACATCATAGGGAGGAGCTAGTGACATCACAGGCCATTGTCACTATCTATGGAGGTGGAGCTATGTGGGATTTAAGGAGGGGCCCCTGGGAGTAGCAGAGGTGTTCTGGGACTGGAATGACAAACCCAAACACTCTCATATTTGGTAGAATGACACCCCTCCCCTCCTCCACCTGGCTCTTGTGCATCCTACATGAAGCAGGGTGATTCAGCAGATGCAAGCCAATGCCAGTGGTCTGCATCCACCAACTCAAACAGCAGAACCAGAGCTTGCAGTTTCAGTACTGGAGCTAGGGCTACCAGCCTCCAGGTGGGATCTGGGGATCCCCTGGAATTACAGCTCATTTTCAGACTACAAAGATTAGTTTCCCTGAAGAAAATGGATGTTCTGGAGGGTGGGCTCTATGGCATTATACCCCACTGAGATCCCAGATCCCAGTCCTCCCAAGGCTCTATTCCCAAATCTCCAGGAGTTTCCCAACTTGTATCAGACCACCCGTCCCCCCCCCCATACCCCAGAGGTGGCCAGATAAAAGAATAAAACCTGAAATCACATACATAAGATGTTAAATTATACAGTAGAATGGCAGTGGGTTAAAATGACCTGCATATTATAAGAATGAACCCTGTGGTACCACTCTGGCTCTAATCTTTTGGGCTGCAAGGGAGATTCTATAGGATACGAACGCGTCAGTATCTGACAACAGAAATGCAATCTTCTCAATTTCAGAGTATGCATTTATGGTAAATAAAATTCCTGTAAAGAATTTGTCTCTGGGTACGTTGTACAATGGGCAAGCTAAAATACAGTGGGGGAGGTTCTCAATGGCTAACGAGCCGCAAATACATATACTATGTTCCGTTGGAATTTGAAAGTGTTGGCCCTCCCGCTCTGTGTGTACATTGTTTGGAAGCACAAGGCAGTGAAAGACACCCTGAGGTTATAATTGGAAATATTGAATAGGTAGGGTGATTTAGAATGGTCGAGTTTAAATAATTTATACCAAGGAGCTACCTTAGACTTTGTGATAGCGGAGCGATCTATCAGAGTCAGGGAAGCAGGAGAACGTTCCCCCCCCCCCCGCAGGCGTCGCAGGCCATAACTTTTTAAGGAGCCCCAAAGGAGAGCTGGGCTAGGGGAGCCAGAATGACTTTTTAAAGAGCCCCTAAGGAGAGCTGGCTTGGGCGCCGGCGAGGGAGGGCGAGGGATAGGCAGGGAGGCGCCGGCGAGGGAGGGCGAGGGATGGGCAGGGAGGCTTCTTTCCGGGCCTGCAGAGGAGGCCAGCGAAGGGCCAGCATGGCCCTCGAGGCGCTCCTGCTGGGGATATGGAGGAGAAGCCCCCCCCCCCAACCAGTGGCACTTAAGAACCAGGCACAGTTTACTAACCTTTCTCTGTGTTCCGGTGGGTGGGAAAGTAGCCAGTCTCCACGTGCAGCTCTCCCTCCAGCTACTTTCCAGAACAGTGAGGGCTGCTGGGAGGAGCTGGGGGTGGAGCTTAGCTGGAAGCAAGCCCCCGCCCTGACTTCCCTCCCTCC